TATCTAATGCTAGTGGTAAAATTAACTAAATAATTACAACAAATAACCCAAATTTTATGGTCATTAGCCATTGCATTGGGAAAAGACTCTAAAGTTCTTTATTTGTTCAATGGCACGCTCCACATGAATCCTTACCCTTGCTTTTCTCCTGGTCTCCATCTCTTGTGAAGGGGATAGTTGTTTTGCTGTCATAAATGGTGGGATATTAAAGTGGGAATATTTCTTGGCAAGGTACATCTATTAGAAAGCCTCTGTCAGCCATTACTGAGTTGCCTTCGTTCAGGTGATCGATCAGCCCACTATTGATGGTGATTTCCTTATCAGACATTCGTCCAGGGACCAAATCCGAAACAAAGGTTATGAAGTCATTTGCTGCAATGCCTATCTTTGGCAGTGTTGTGATTCTTGTATGAGGAATATGTTTCAGGGGAACTTGTCAGAATCGAGTTGCCATGAGATCATACAATGTTCTGCAAATCCTTGATACAGTTGTATGATGAATGCCAAACTATAAAAGGAATGGATTATCAGAAGCATGATCATGTGACAATAATATAGTGATGTTATGATATTGAAACAATGACAATAATGAAGGACATTGATGTAAATAGATAAAAAACACAAAAAATGAAAGCTGTAGTACTCATATGAATATTAATTTAATAATATTACCGATAAGATAAGTCTTCTTCAAGCAGCCCAACTCTTAGTCTCATCAATACCATGAGTAGCTGGTCTTCAAATGATAATTTATGGGTTCTGGGGCGTTGATTATTGTCCTCTGATGTCTTAGGTGGCAACTAGTGGAGTGTTTGATCCCCAATAATTTAAATGATGAACATCCCGTGAAAAAATAATAATAATAATAACAAACTCATGAAGTGTTTGGAATTCTGAGTAAGTATAGAACTTGAATTTATCAGGCTAATCTTTTAGGCACGGAACACTAAATGTCTTGTCAGCTATTTCGTTCTGTGTTTGTTTTAGTTCAAGTTTTGGTGTGTACTTTTCAAGTTCGACTGTCGTACTGTCGGTCGTATTTACTGGCAATTGTTTTTCAATTAGAATTCTTCTGGTGTTTTGCTTAGCAGCCTTATTCCATGGGAAAACGGTTGGTATGTTATCCAAATAGGTTTTTATGCYAYGGACAAAGTGTTCAGAGCAAACGCGATGACCTGTGAGTCGGCTTGAAAAGGCTGAACTTTCCCTCGTTTCCTCGTCTGTTGATATTTGCGATCCACTTCTTTCTGAGCTTTTTGTCTTTTGGAAAGTTATAAAACTTTAGATGGCGTTGTTTCTTGTYATTATTAAAACAAGTGGGAACACAGCAAGAAAAACCCGGCATTGTTTTGAGGTCTTTAAATTGTTTTCAGGTCATTCTCATTGCGAGCATGTACTCAGTCTCCCAGGATACATTGCGCGCTCAAAATCCAAGATGTCTGCCGCGCACATTGGCTATTCTGTCGCTGCTTTGTGTTTTAGAATGTGAGTAGTGAAGAGCACGTGCTACTAGCGCACTTGAGATATTTTTTAATTTGTCTCGCAGTGAGGGATTCTACTTCGCATTCATCCTTCCAGTTAATATCAGGAAGTGAATTTCGTTCTTCCTCCCGTTTTTTAGTTTCTAATGAGAGAAACTCAAGATGGTGCACAAAAGATTTGAGAGTAGCTTCATCGACCAGCAGATTCTGACACACCTCCTTCATTTCTTTAGCTTTGGAAGATGATAACTGTCCTGAAGCAAACAACTTTTTTACTTGCACACTAGGAAGCTTTTTGTCGATTTCATCGCTCAYGTTGTTCACATTTAATGGAATGTATCCGTTTGGTAAGTCCGATGTGTCACTCAGATCTGGAACAGGGAACCAATATGCAGGGATACCTGCTGTACACACCTCCTTTTCACACGATTTACATGTTTCGGGCTCACATGAAAACTTCAAATATTCTAGGAAGTAGTGCCCGTGCCGTACATGACCTTTCTTTAGCTCATGCAGCTTCATACACAACGAATTTGCGCGTCTATCAGCTGGTGCTTTCCTCCACTGGTAAAGATATTTGGCAAGAAATTGCACAATTTGCTTGTCTTTGGGGTAACTAGGAACAGAAATGAGAAAATCGTGTTTCCCTATCTGAAACTTCACTAGCTAGCTTCCACGTATTCTTTTCTTTCCATAAAGCACAATGATCGTTGATTTCTTTTAAAG